CCCTTTCTACACCGCAACCCCCAGACATGGCTGGTCCTGACCTAAGGAGAGCCTCCCCCCTCCCAACCACCCTTGTTCCCCCTAAAAACCCACCCCCCCCAGCCTCCCTCATTCCCCCTAAAAATTTTTTAAAACACCCCTTTAAAAATCGTCTCAATTTGGCATTTTTCACTTCCCTATTTGTAGCCGCTGCTGGGTCCTTTTAAAGCCCTCTGTGGCCAGGATGCCTTCAGGGATCCTCTTTCCAAAACTGTCCATCCGTCTACCCCAGAAGGCCACAGAACAGCAACTAAGGGGTCCCCTCTCCCCTTAGGGGCGGCTGAAGGTCTCTCTGTGAGGATCCCCCCACCCCCAGGACAACCCCTCCCCCCGTTGGTCCCACTTCAAGGGCTTTGAAGAGTAATCTTAAAAACATATTCAATGTCTACAAATAAAAGATAAACATGTTGCTTTAATAGGAAACTTGGAGTAACAATGGAGTAACATTGGAGTAAAATTTGGAATAACATAAACGTAGAACAGGGGTCTTCGAACTTGGCCCTTTGATGACTTGTGGACTTCAACTCCCAGAATTCCTCAGCCAGGCAAATTCTCGGAGCTGAAGTCCATAAGTCATCAAAGGGCCAAGTTCGAAGACCCCTGGTGTAGAATAACATGCAGATATTAAGATATGATTTTTATTAATAAAAAGGTCCTTTAAACATCTAACTCTCATCTACACTGCAAGCCACAATAAGGCAGGGATTCTCAACCATGGCACCTGGAAGACACGTGGACTTCAACACCTAAATTCTGGAACTCTGGGAGCTGGGAGTCCAACCATCTTCCAAGGTTGAGAAACACCGTGTTAACGCACAACAAGGTTGCTACACCTAGCATGAGGAGGCATCAAGGGTGTTACCCAAGCAAGGGGCACTTCAAAAGGGGGCTCAGAGGGGCCAGGAGGCATCGCTGCGTCTTCCCCGCGTGATGGGATAAGTGGGGGCGAGGGGCTTCCTGGCTCAGAACCGCTTGGCAGCCCCCAAGCAGCCTGGACGATTATGGCAAAATTGTATAGAGTTGGACATGGCACGGGGAAGGGAGACCACCAAGAAAGCCTAGCAGACTAGAACGGGAAGGTTGGAAGGACCTTGTCCCAGAGGACAAAGGAGAACATCTGGTCCTCTTGCCAGATGCAGCCTCGGAAGGCACCAGGAGGTGGGGCTGAGCTAAGTGACCTCCTCTACAGCCCCTCTTCCTCCGCTTTCAGGTACCACAACTGGTCAAGGGGAATTGTGCGGGATCTGAGGAAGAGCACTTTTAACATGTTTCCCCCTTAACAAGCAGGAATCGGGAAGGTGGTGCCTTAATGTGGACCGCCGCAGCGTAGGAGTGCCCACCAGCCACCTCTACCTGTAATGTGTTGCAGTTGGACGTGGATATTCCTCACACTTAAGGGAGACCCCCTGCTGGCCCAGGTAGAAAAAAGGGTAGGCCCTCTCCCCAAGGAAGGGCCCTGTCCGGAAGATGTAGAGGGAAGCCCCAGTCTCTACATCCAGGAACTCCACCTCTTCTGCCTTGTAGTCCAGCCACACCCGCAGCCACCTCAGCCTTTGCAAGCTGAGCTTCTCGTGAACCTTGGAGAAAGCGACCGTCTTGCCCTCCACACTCTTCCCCACGGCCCAGATTTCCTCCTGGGGGCTCAGCTGGAAACTCCCCTTCCTGCGTACAGACTCTATGGCCACCCCAATGGCCCAGCATGCTCTGCCACCCACCGGGGCATTGTCTAGACCCTGCACAGACACTTCCCAATAGTACCACCATGCATTGAATACCCCGCAGCACAGGGCGCACAATTCCTGGTTGAACCTCCCTGGCAGATCCGGGAGATCCTGGTTTTGGTCGACCAAAGTCAGAGTGGTTCCCTGGCACCAGAGCCGCGGGTGGGCGGTCGAGCCGTCCGGCGTGACGTAGACTGAAGAAGAGAGAGAAGAGAAGCTCTTAGGCGGGCTGGGAACAGGGGAGGGCAAGGCAGGGCAGGGCTGGCTCCCCGAGGAGGGTTCCCCAGCTCAGGGAAGGACAGAGCAAATGGCTGCTGCCCCTGCTTAGCGGCCGGAGGGCAGCCTGATGCCAAAGGGTGAGGAAACTGGGCTGTTCTCTTTCGTCTCTGGAGCCCCGAGACGTGGTGCAGGGCGAGCTTCCAAAAAGGGAAGCTTGGGACCAATTCCCACGTACGGCAGGTCTCTGCAGCCTGAGGTCAGGGAAGGGTCTCTGCCTCTGGAGGGGCAGGGGAGGGCAGGGGAGGTGGGCAGTGGGTGGGTCACTGGGAGAACAGAGGGAAGGATAAGAGGAGCCAGGGGGTCCCGACCCAGGGAAGGTCCTGTGTTTACTTTTATTGCCCAGAGCACCTGGAGACAGCAGTCCTTGACTTACAACAGGGACGGTTCAAAGTTACGACACTGAAAAAGTGACATGACCGTTTTCCACACTTACGACCACTGAAGTATCCCCCATGGCCACGTGATCGAAGTGGGGATGCTGGGGAAACTGGCATGGTACTTATGATGGTCGCAGAGTCCAGAGTGCCTCACTCAGTGATGAAAATGTTGGGCTCAGTTGTGGCCATATGTTGAGGACTCCCTCCGTTCCTGCTTCTCCCGAGTTACCACTATTGCTGGTTGTGGGTTTAGCGCTCTTCCAGAGCGATGGGAGAGGCATGCCATCAGGGACCTCCCTGCTGTTGCCCCAGGCCCACATTTGGGTGGCTGCTGTGGGACCCGCAGACCTCCCGCTTCTGCTGGACCCCTCCCTCTATGGAAAGCCACCCCCACTCCCACCCCAGGGCTTTTCCAGAGTGTCATGTTACCTTTAGCCGCTGCTGGACCTTGTATATATTGTGGAACAGGTACTGGGGAAGAAAGGGGGACAAGGGTTAAAATCAGGCTACTCTTTCTGAAGAAGCCCCCTCCCCCACTTCTTACAGGGCACAATTAAAAACTGACCCACCATCCCCCCCCGATGGGACCTTTTATGCCCCTGAAAGACCTGCCCAGCCGCCCCGCCCAGCGCCCTCAAGCGTGGCTCTTTTCTGGAAGGGCCAAGGTGTGGCGGGGAATGGCCGGCTCCGTTTGGGGGCTGACAGACCCCTGCCCCCCCCTTCCCCAGATGCTGTCTTTGGGACCCCCCAGACTCTCGGCATCCCTTGGGCCCTCCAACTGGCAGAGAAAGCCACTCCTCGTAGATGCCACTCCTGGCAATTTGGGGAAACCGCTGCTGTGGGATCTGGTGAGGACAACCAGTTTGCAAGTCTCCCCCCCCCACTGCCCCCTTCCTCCCCAGCCCCATGAAGTTACCCGTGGCCAGAGATCGCTCCAGCTTCTTCCTGGTCAGAGTCGTCTCCAGGGAGGCTGAGATTCGGAGGAGGAAAGGAAAAAACGAGAGCGAGGTGAGAAACAGCCGTCCGTGAGCAACAGCCACGCAGAAGTGAACATCTTGGTCCCTGCCAGGTGCACAGTGACACCCTCTCCCCCAAGTACCATGGTTCAGGGAGGGTGACAGATGGAGTGGAGGGGCAGTACCCTCCTTCACCTACCAGCCCAAGCAGGATGGGGACTGGCTCCCCCAAGATTCCCCAGTAGGAAGGGGAGAAGGGCCCAGATTCCCCCCAGACCCACCTCAAAGGAGCCCCGCACCTTTGTAATTGTCCACAACCTGCCTTACAGGAGCGTTTTCCTCCAACATGGTCTGGAGTCTGCCTTGCAGCCTGGGGGAGACACTCTCCACGCGCCCCACCACGTAACTCCGGCACCTGCGACACAAGGACGGTGGCCTCACACGGCTACCCGGCTTTCTCCCCACAACACGGGGGGCTGGGTCGGCCAGCTGCGTGGGTTGCATGAAAGAAGCTGGCCCATTCCAACATCTTGCCACGTGAATACAGAACTCGGGTTTTGCAAACCTGAGTTTAGGGTTTGGTACGAATCCTGGCTTGTTTGTTATGTAAGCATGTACGTTGCTTTGATCGCACCCGACTCTGTGCACTGAACCAGGGTAGAGTTCAGTAAAGAAGTCAGGAAAGACACAAACTCAACACAAACATCAAATGTGATTCCGATCCTACTATACCAAGGATTAAGGTGTCCAACGCAAGGAAACCCGGTTTCCTGCAACGAGCTTACAATGCTTCCCAGTGCTACACTGCTTCCCAGTCACCAGTGCTACAGGCGAGTGGAGTTTGCTCTCATTTCATGCAGAGTTCCCCAACATTTCTGGGTTGGTGGGCCAGAGGAGAGAGTTGGTAAAAAGAGGATGGTTTTCTGGAAGGGGCAGGCACCTGATCGTGTGAGACCGACTGACCCACAAGGACAGGGGCGGGGAAGGGCAAGGTGTCGCCTTACCTGTCCACGGTGTCCTGGATGTCCTGAAAGAGAGCAGAGAAATGGTTTGTGGCCCTCGCAAGGGTGGCCAGTGTACCCCCCCCCCGGGGAACCTGTTTCTCCCCCGCTTGAGGCCAGTGAGAGCCCCGCCCACCTGCAGGAATTCCCCGTCTGGCTGGCGGCACTTCCTCTCCATCTGGGCAATCAGCTGCTGCAAGCGGGAAGCCTCCACGGAGAGCTGGGCCAGAGGGCCCATCCATTCGGCCATCATCTTCTTCTCCTGCTCGACCAGCCAGGCGACCCAGACTGACTGCCTCTTCTTGAGCAGCTCCACCAGGGATTCCAGCGCCCGGCTGACCTTCTGCTTCTCGGTGGCAAATTGTTCCTGGGGGGGGGGCAGAAGACGGGGAACTCAAAGTTCCCAGTTGCAGAACCAGCATCCCTGGAGCTGCCTCCTGTGCCCCCCTCCACCCGAGAGACCCACCTGGCACTCCTGCCGGCTCTGCTCTTCCGCCTGCCTCTGCTCCAGCAGCTGCTGCTCCTCCTTCCTCAGGGCCTCCAGGAGGGCATCCAGCAGGTCCTGCGCGGGGAGGAGACAGTGCCATTCCCGAGTCCACGATGGCAGTGCTCCCACCCAGGGAGGCGGGCAAGGGGCCAGAGGGACCCCCGTGCTACCCTCCAGGGGGAGGCCCAGCTGGGCACCAGAGCTTCCAGCAGAGAATCCGGCCAGGGAGAGGCCCAGGGCAGGCAGAGGCCCACGAGGAGGGAAGCAGCTGAGAGTCTGCCTGTCTCCGGTCTCCTCTCTCGCTGCCAAAAAGTAGCCTGGCTCTCCTCTGCCATTTTTCAGCATTAGGGTTTAGTTAGGGTGATGGAGTGCCTATCTAGCTGGGGCTGTTCAGCTCCCCCCTTTGGGAACGCCTGCCTCCACAGTGCCCGCCCCCTACCTTGTATTCTCGGGCAGCCTCGGGCAGGGAGAGGAGGGGGTGGCCCTGGTGCCCCCCCAGGCAGCCGGCGCAGAGGAGGCTCTTCTCACTGGAGCAGAAGGTCTGCAGGGGCTGCTGGTGTTCCCGGCACAGCTGGGGGCCGCTGCTCCCCTCCTGGGCTCCCCCCCTCGACAGCCGAAGCCCCTTCACCAGGCGGACGATGTTGGCCAGGGCCCAGTTGGGGGAGGCGCTGCCGGGCTCCACCCTGGCTCTGCACTGGGGGCAGGAAGCCTCAGCGCCCAGCCGGGCCAGGCAGTCGCGGCAGAAGTTGTGCCCGCAGGCCAGGACCATCGGCTGCTGGAAGAAGTCCAGGCAGAGCGGGCAGGTGGCCTCCTGACTCAGTTGCCCCAAGGTCGTCTCCTGCCCTGAGGCCTCCATGGGGCTCTTCGCTTCCGTTTCCATCTCGCTGGGCCTGGAAGGAGGAGAAGCTGGTCTGTTGGCTCCTTCTGGGGGGGGCAGCCGGGAGCTCTTGGGGGAGAAGAGGATTTCTGAGCCCCTCCCCTCCTGTAGGGTAGGGAACGTGCTCTGAGCCCCTCCTCCAATTCAAGTCCAGAGGTATTAGCCCACCCCACACACACACACATTCCTATCCTAGGGGAGGGGAGGCAAGGAAGCAACCAGAAGGCCAAGCAGGGGGGCTTCTCCCAAACGGGGGGGGGGGGCGGGGGAGGTTCCCCAGCGTCCAGAGAAGAGAACAAGGGGAGCCTCCTCGGGGTCTGGCAACGGCTTCTTTGGGCCCCCATCCCCTGTTCTGTTCCCTCAGCCCAGGGGTCTCTAGGGGTCCCGGCCCTCCTTGGAGGATGAGCAAGCCTTCAGCCCCATAGACTCCCCCCCTCCGTTGCTCTCCTTCCGTGCCAGTCCCCCAAGACCGAGGACCCCCCCCCAAACAAACTTGGCAAGAGCAAGAGAAAACCCCGGTTCTCCCCCCCACTTTGAGGGTGCCCCCCACCTTCCCGCCTGGGGCGCCCTTCAGTGGGAATCGGGGCGTCGTTTCTTAAGGGGGGGAGGAGAAAGCGGAGCTCACCGTCCCTCGAAGCTGCTTCGGCCCTTCAGAAGGCACCACGGCCGCCCCCTCGAAGGGACTCCGGTGGGTGGGGCCAAGGGCGGGGAGGAGGGGCGGCCCTTCCCCGGAGCCTGGACCGGGGGCGCAACTTTCCCACGCGCGGAAAGGAAACTTCCCCCGGAGCAGAGACGGGGCGCCGCTCTTGGGCCTGGGGAGGGCAGCGAAGAGGAGCCCGGAAAGGCCCCCACCCCACGCTCCCCCCGCCGCACTTTCGCCCCCCCCGTCCTCCTCCTCCTCCTCCTCCTCCGCAGAGCAGCCGCTTTTCCCGCCGCGTGGAAAGCTAAGCGCGTGCTCGGCGGCGCCTGCGCAGAAGAAACCGGGGGGGGGCGGTCGAGGTGGGGGTTTCCTTTCCCAGCTGGGAGGCGGGGCGGGAGGAGACGGTCCTGCTCCTCCCCGCGGTGGGAGGCCGTTTCCCCCGCGTGGAGCGCGGAGCCAAGCCGGACCCCTCGCCCGCCCACGCCTGGGGCTTTCCCCCCCCCTCCTCCTCCTCCTCCTCCTCCCGGGATAAGACCCCCGTGGGGGGAGGGGCCCGGGATTCGCTTGGCGGCCCCCCCCCACGCTCCTGGAGGGGTCCAAAAAGTCAAGAGGGCGGCCAGCCCAAACTCCTGGGGGGGGGAAATAAAGCTTCACGGGGCGCCTCTCTCGCGTGGGCGGGGGGGTCCCTTCAGGGCGAGGGGCGCGGAGGAGGGGCCTCCCTCGCAGGAGTGGGGTGGGGGATGGGGGGGGTGGCGAAGGGGGCGCTCTTTCCGGAGGCCGCTCCGGGGAAACTGTAGGGAAGACCCCGCAGAGCCCCATTCAGGAGAAATCTCACATCTTTGCAGCTCTCTCTCCCTCTCCCCCCCCAACCCACCTCACAGGGTCGTTGTGGGGAAAATAAGAGGAAGGACCGTTGGGGATGTTCACCGCCTTGACTTAGTAATAATAAGAAAGGCAGGATTAAAAATTAGTAAATCGGTTTGTGTCGGTTCCAATTTGAACCCAAAAGGGGACCGAGAGCTGGAGGAGAGCCGAGGGGGGCCCCCAACTTCCCAGGCGCCAGGGAAGCACTGGTTTTAACTGGTCCGGCATTTTGGGGGCTGCCTCCCCACTTCACACACCCCCAAGGCCACTCTGCGGGGGGGGGGAAGGAACCACTCATTCTCAGGGGAGGGGCTCTTTCCCCGGGGGGGGCTCTGGGCATCCAGAGGGGCCTCCTCCACATTGGCGCCATCCTCCCTTCCGGCCTTCAGCCTTTGGGGTCAAGGGGGCTCTGTGTGCGAATTAGGCGCCTTCTATGCTGGGGACCTTTAAACTTTTAAACTGTTTTATTGCCGTAAAGTGTCCGGAATCCTCATCTACCTCCTGGGCCTTTTCTGCTGGACAAGAGAGGCAGGCTGGCCGGCCAGAGTCCTGCAGCCGCTCAGGGCCCTTTGCGAGATCCGAGTGGCCCCTCCCCCACAGAGGCCACAGCCAGGGTCCGGGGAGGGGTGGTGGGGGGGTCCTGGGACAGCCTCCTCCAGGCGGGACCTGCCCCGTGTTGGCATCTGGAAGGACCCCACTGCCTGCCCAAGGGTGGTCTTCCCCCCAAGGGTGGACAAGCATCTCTCTGGAAGGGTTGAGGGGGTCTCCTGCCTGAGCGGAGGGGGGGTCGAAGCCTCGGATTCCAGGCCACCGAGGCAGATGGGGGGGGGAGTCTCTGGGGAGTTGACCCAACAGGCTGCCATCAGGCTGAACCCAGCCAAGTCTTCGCCAAAGTCTCCCCTGAGCGGCCCCCGGGCAGCGCGCCCCCTTCCCCATCCCCCCACCCCACTCCTGGGAGGGAGGCTCCTCCTCCGCGCCCCTCGCCCTGAAGGGACCCCCCCGCCCACGCGAGAGAAGCGCCCCGTGACGCAGCATTCCCTCCCCCAGGAGTTTGGACTGGCCGCCATCTTGACTTTTTTGACCCCTCCAGGAGCGTGGGGGGCCACCAAACGGATCCCGGGCACCTCCACCCACGAGGGTCTTATTCCGGGAGGAGGAGAGGGCGAACCCCACCCGTGGGTGGGCGAGGGGTTCTTCTTCGCGGAAGCATCGAGGGTGGCCGGCTCCCCCCAGCCCCCCCGTGGCGTGGAAAGGCCCGCGAGGGGCCCCCGGGGGAGAGCAGCCGGGCGGGAGGGGGGGCTCAGCGCTCCACGCGGGGGAAATGGCCTCCCACCCTGGGGAGGGGCAGGACCGTCTCCTCCCGCTCCGCCTCCCAGCTGGGAAACGAAACCGAAAGCTCGGGCGTCTCCCTGGTTGCTTCTGCGCAGGCGCCGCCGAGCCCGCGCTTAGCTTCCCAGGCGGCGGGAAAGGCGGCTGCTCTGCGGAGGAGGAGGAGGAGGAGGAGGAGGCGAAAGTGCCCCCCAGGCCCCAAAGCGGCGCCCCTCCTCCCCGCCCTTGGCCCCACCCACCGGAGTCCCTTCGAGGGGGCGGCCGTGGTGCCTTCTGAAGGGCCGAAGCAGCTTCGCAGGGACGGTGAGCTCCGCTTTCTCCTCCCCCCCTTAAGAAACGACGCCCCGATTCCCACTGAAGGGCCCCCCCAGGCGGGAAGGTGGGGGGAACCTTCAAAGTGGGGGGGGAGAACCGGGTTTTTCTCTTCTGTTTCCCAGTTTGTTTGGGGGGGAGGCCTCGGTCTTGGGGGACTGGCAGGGAAGGAGCGCAACGGGGGGGGGGGTCTATGGGGCTGAAGGCTTCCTCATCCTCCAAGGAGGGCCGGGACCCCTAGAGACCCCTGGGCTGAGGCTGAAGGGACACAAGAGTGGATGGGGCCCAAAGAAGCCCTGCCAGACCCCGAGGAGGCCTCCCTTGTTCTCTTCTCTGACCACTGAGCAACCCCTCCCCCATTTCAAGAAGCCCCCTTGCTTAGCCAGTTCTAAGGGGGGGGTGCATTGCCTCTGGGCTTGAATTGGAGGAGGGGCTCAGAGCACTTTCCCTACAGGAGGGGAGGGGCTGAGAAATCACTCCCCCCCCAAGAGCTCCCGGCTGCCCCCCCCCAGAAGGAGCCAACAGACCAGCTTCTCCTCCTTCCAGGCCCAGCGAGGGGGAAACGGAAGCGAAGAGCCCCATGGAGGCCTCAGGGCAGGAGACGGCCTTGGAGCAGCTGGGCCAGGAGGCCACCTGCCCGCTCTGCCTGGACTTCTTCCAGCACCCGATGGTCCTGGCCTGCGGGCACAACTTCTGCCGCG